ATCTGTATTAAATCATTCTTATCTCAACCCACGGGTTTCCCATTTCTCCTTTAATTCTCTCCCTCATTCCTGGGGGTGGGGGAGGGGGAGACCGGCTGTGTGTGTGGGGGGGGTTTCAACCTAACCCACGACAGTTACAAGTAAAAAACTTTAGTGACACAAAAAAGTCAAAATAACCACCAGACACGTAGCAGCCATGTACATGAATGTGATGTAGTAACAAGACACCAGTGTATAAGCTCATGGTATAAGAATGCATATTTTTTTTTATGTCTTTCAGAGGTGAAAGCAAAAGATTTATAGAATGTGTCTTCTCAACAGTGTTGCTGATAAAGTGGAAGTGCACAGGAATGCATTATTCCTTCAGTGCAATTTTCATAACTTTAAGGCACTGCTTTAAGATTGGATAGGAGGAAAAGCTATGCCCTTGAACATAAACAACTGGGGGAAAAGCAAAAACAAAACCAAAAAACTAGAACAAAACAAGAATATAGGAAAATCTTCCTTTACTTACTGTAAAGCCAAACTTCATTTTCAGTGACAGACACAGTAGATTGGACTAAGAGAAGAGCTTTTAGCAATCTTTCAATTGTCATCAGAAATCTGAATATCATGCAGTCATGTATAATATCAGGAGAGAGGAAAACAAAAATACATCTGTCTCCAAGCAAGGATTGATACAGACAAGGTTTATGTCAGCAAAGTCGAGTAAGTTTTTAAAACGTAAAGAGTTGGTGCAGGATGCATCGAAGGATACTAGTTTGATTTCGGAGAAGTTACTGGTGAAGTCAAGATGAAGGAAACAGGATATGAGGGATTCTTCTTTCTTGAAGACATATAAATTTAATTTGGAAGCTACATTTTCCATGTAGAAATAATCTTATTTGTGTTTTGTTTGTTTGTTTGTTTTTTTCAGAAAGGACTGACAGAAAGGAAAAAGATGTCACCTCACAGAACACTCTGGTAGAGACATGTTCTCAGTACCACTATATCATGGTAACACTGTGGTACTTTGGGAAGAGCCGAAACTCCAGAAGATCATTAAAAAAAGGCACCCTCCTTCTCTTACTCTAGGTTTTGAGTAATTGCCACTAAAGCCTTTGTTCCTTTGAAAAGAATGAGACTTTCCCATGCTTTACAACTATTTCAGTAGTGAGCCCAAGAAGCCTATACCACTTAAATCTGTTTAAAAGATGACCTATGTGGATTTACAGCTCACAAAAATTCACAGTTGATATAGCAAAACAAGTAATTCCTCAATATTGCTTAAAAATTCAAGTATTCTTAAAATGACTAAAACTAGCTGGCAAGTTTATCACTTGAAGTGCCTAACTGGTAGTTATGTGGGCTTGATCATTTAAACGGGCTGCAGAAACTATTTTTTCTATTACAATTGTTTTTTAAAAAATGGATCTTCTTTTACATCTGAAGCAATACAGTAAATAGTACATCACAGATAAGGAATTTGTATTCACAGTGGAAACTATTGTGATATGTCCATTTTACTCTGTACCAGTTGTATCTGTTTACCTCCACTGAGATTTTTTTGGGGGACATTTTAGATCACATTTTATACAATCGAACCAATGAGTGACAATGATATGTGATCAGATGAACTGCTGCTTCTGGTGTCAAAACCTAGACTGATTCCCAGGGTATTTCTCATAGAGGACTCCCTTTGCACAGCAATAGCTGTATCCTTCAGGGTTACAACTGCCACCTTTGTCTATGACAGAGGCATGCATCTTTACTGCAATGGGTATTCAGCAGAGTAGCTGCACTCTCTCTGACTTTGTCCACCCAAAATGTTAGAGGGTTATGCCTACAAAACCCAAGCTCTATCACCTTCCAGTGCTGAGAAGATTCTAAGATGAACAGGGACAGCTTTCGTCTTGACTCGATGAGGCTGTTGGGTGGTCAGCTACTCTGGATACTCTAGTGGGTACTGCTGCTAACTAAATCTCAGGTTTTCTATTCCTCTGAACAGGCAGAGGGCCAGATACAGGAACAAACAGGAACTTGCATAGTATTTGCAGATAGAGAAATCTACTTCGCAGAGTTACAAAGGTCGCAGAAAAAACTTGAGATTGTCCTTTGATTAACTTCTATTTTTCAGTAATACGTTCAGACTGATGGTGTTATATACATCAATTTTTTTGATCATTTAAGCAATATGTTTGTGCAATAAATAATAACAAAGTTCATAATTCCATGAATAAACAGGAATTTTGAGGGAGAAGAGAAGGAGTTTGGGTAATAAATGTGTGTGTGGACAAGACATTTTGAAGTCTAGTTACTGGTACATCATCTCCCTTTAACCATCACTGAAATAACGGCTATATGATTTCTCTAAGTCGTAAAGGGAGCATCACACCTAGATCCCACTAGTACATTGTATTTGGATTCCCAAAGATAGAGGCAAGGAAAAGAAGGTCCTGAAAGACCTCTTAGAGTTCGATGGCTGTTATCTGTTTCACAGGTCCACATTTAGAGGAATTGGATGACTTCCAGCATGGATACTGCTACCCTAGTATGGTTGATGGAGCTGACTGACATAGAAAATGTGTTTGAGTTATCCAATACAAATTGGTATTGATGAAGTTAGTAGCTGCGTTTGGCATTTCAAGATTAGTGACACTGATGGATACAACTGATAAAACCTCTAACAAAAAAAGACCAAGCTTCAACTGGATAGGCAAACAATATCGGTCCACTACTGGGCAGAAGTGATGAATGATGCAGTGGGATACACAATAGCGGTTAAGCATCAGGAAAGAAAGAGAGGAATAACAGGTAGGAACTCCTTCCAGTGTTGGTCCTGCAGATGCTTCTCCATCTGTGAGAGAACTGAGGCACAGAAGTGCTGGGTATTTCGTGTTTATGTGCATCTTCATCCTCTGTGTTGTCAACTATGCTTAGCGAAGTTCCAGATCTATGGTACTGCGTTAAACCTCAAATATGTATCACTGGGAAGTTAGAAGCCTTGAGACTTTAGAAGAGGCTCAAGATGAAGGAGGAA